AGAGAGAGAGAATCATCATCAGTATCAGCATCAGTCGGACCCCCAGTCTGTCCAATATAAAGCCCTTCTGGCTAATGAAAAACCTACAGTGTCTCATCCTCTAAACACACTGGTATCTGAACTACTGAATAAAACACAAACCAAACCCGTCCCCAAACAAAACCTTCACAAACAAATTGACAAAACATTAAAATATAACTATGATGAAAAACTGAAAACTGAATTCAACCTCCAGACTAAACTTAAATGTTATTCGGCCCTAAATAGAACCACACAGTTGGCAAATTATTTATCATTAAAACAATAAAAGAAAAGCACATTCTTTCTAAATATCGCCTCTGTGATCATGACCTAGAAATAGAAAAAGGCAGACATAAAAAATCCTGGACTCCTAATGAAAAGAGAATATGTAAACAGTGTGACACAAACCAAATAGAGGATGAGACACACTTCCTTCTGTTTTGCCCCAAATACACCACGACTAGAGAAATATTTTTCCCCCAATTTGAAACATTGATCAGTTCATTTTTTAATTTAAATGACTCAGAAAAACTTTACCATATACTCGGAGAGGACGAATTGACATTTAGACTAGCTGCAAAATATGTACACACTCTACACACCATAAGAAATGGTTAATGTAAACTCATGTATCTTATTTAAATAATTTAAACTTTTTATTATTATTGTATTTATCAAATGTATTGTTTTTTTTTGTATTTATTTATTTTTATTTTTATTTTTTGTGTGTGTCATTATATCTTATCTGTATTACTATTAATTTTTCAATGGTTTTAATGTTTCATATTTGCAGTGCTTTGGCAATACTGTACTTAATGTCATGCCAATAAAGCAACTTGAACTTGAGAGAGAGAGAGAGAGAGAGAGAGAGAGAGAGGAGAGAGAGAGTATTATATTTAATTAATATATTTAAGTACAATACACACAGTTCAATTTTCAAGACCTGTCAAGTATTGAACATTAGATAAACAATGAATTAAGCGATGGTTACGCATTACATAAATACAAACTTAAAAATCAGTAAAATACAACTCAGTTTAATTCAAACTTGCTTTATTGACATGTTACAAATGCATCGGATGAGCTCACTGACACATGCTTTACTTAATTAGAAGTTTAAATATCAGTAATTTCTCTAAGCATTATTTAAATATATATACATAAAAGCAGTATTTTAAATATTGTTCATGGGCTGTATTGATTGATTCATTAATTATTTTTTGATCAATATCTGCATGTTCCATTTCTTCCACCAGGTGGAAAACAAACACTATATTTTAATAAACGTGTACTTTGAATATTGTCATTACCCCAATATTGACTTTTTATTTAAAGCACTTGAGCTCAACCACTCTCACTGGCAGAGCTGTGATAAAAAACAACTAAACGCAACTGCCTGTTGTTTTAAATAGGGGGAAACTACTCCATGTCCCGCGCTCACATTATCTTTCTTTAAGATTACATCAAATTTCTAATAAAAATACACATTAAAAAAGACTTCATGAGTCTTTTAAATTTGGTGAAATGCTCCGGTACCGAAAAAACAACGCATGACCTGATATGTGATGTCCATTGTAATGTTGGCAGGGTCTAAAAGGGTGAAGTTTAGGGTGGAGGAACAGCAGATCAGCTCCACATTCAGAGTTTAGTCTCCAGGCCGTCGACACGCTGATCTGCAAACACACAAACAACAAAACATCAACATCATAATGCAGCACTACAGCTAAATCCACATTTTGTCAGTTTTACTTTCATTGTTTTAATATATAGACACTTGAATTTGGCATTATTGGTGATTTACAGTAGGTTTTTGCATCATCATTCTTATTTGATGCTTTTTTTATGAGGATTAATGTCGTTCAATAAACTCATTTTCAACAGTTTTTACAGTACAGATATCATTATGTGCTGTTAAACTTGACATAATTGACAAACGACAGGCCCTTATTGCATCATTGGTAACTGTAGAGATGTGTTCAAAGATATATACAGTAGATATCGCATAGGGACCCTGAGCATGCGTCAATAGCGCCGCCACATTGGTACAGTGCTCCCAGGACAAACGTCATTCAACTGCACAAGTCAAGACAGTGTTATTACGTGAAGATGCGGGACTTTAGCGCTGTCTACGAGTGTAGTAACGAGCAATCAAAGAAAACAAAGCACAAAGGCAGAACATTTCATAGGTAATATTAAGTTGTTGTTTTTTTACGTTTATGTATGTTTTGGACTTTTGTGCTAAACAGTAGCATTATTAATGATAACAGTCACTTACTGCATTCACTATAAGTCAAAGTAGCTCCAACCCGCACTAAATACTCGGCTTATGCTAGTTTTGTTGAATAAAATCAGCAAACAATGTAAAATAAATATATGTTATATGTATTATTGTCGGCTAGTGAACGAGTCGTTCATAACAAAGATTCATTCACAAACGAATCGCTCCCTCCGTCAGTATGAGAAGTGAAAGCAGGAGAGGAGCTGTGTTTAAGGACATGATTAGATCAAATTTAACAGGGAGGGTGAATAGTACATTTCTGTACACACGAACACAAGCTTTTTGTCAGGAATGCCCGTGCGGTCACTGACCCATCAATGTAGAAAAGTGATGTAAAATTATAATTTACTGTGCATAATAAAAAACTGTGCATACTAACATCCAGGAAAACTCCCGATCATTGATATATGTGTATATGTGTATATCTCTGGCTTTGGATGGCCACAGTCCTCCACTGTACCTTGGTCCCGCATTCATTTCAATGGAGCGCTACCCTGTAGTAAAATGGCAGCTCTATTGACGCATTCCTTCCAATAGACAATAACAGGGTAGGCGACATCTAATGTATATATCTATGAGATGTGTTAATGTAGACATGTCAAGAATCATTTTCAGGACAAGCAAAACATACTGAGCTCTATTTTAACAATCTAGACCAGGGGTGGCCAACCCTGTTCCTGGAGAGCCACCTTCCTGCAGATCTCAGTTGCTACCCGTATTAAACACACCTGAACCAATTAATTAGCACCTGAACACCACGTGATAATTACAGGCAGGTGTGTTTGATATGGGTTGCAACTGAAATCTGCAGGAAGGCGGCTCTCTAGGAACAGGGTTGGCCACCTCTGATCTAGACGGAAAGTCTAAGGTCCCTATCATACACCAGGCGCAATAAGGCACAAGATCTATTGGCCCGACATGTTGTTTCAGATAAACGCAACCTTAATGTTTCTGTTTTCAGCCATGTTGTTTAAATAGCAAATCCATTTGCGCCACACAAAGAGGTGTGTTAAGGCCTGTTGGTATTTTGAGGAACTAAAATAGACTGCGCAATAGACCAGGTCAAAGCAGGTCTAACGTCCAGCGCAGAGTGCGTTAGTTGTGCGCCTCGCTTACACACTGCTTAATTAACACAGGATGTACAGCAATACACAAATATAAAAAGTTTAAGGATAAAAATGTTACAGAAATGATTACTTTCTACATAATAAAAAAAAAACAGTTCCTTCATGCCCTCTTCATCTCGGGGGGAGGGGGGGGCTTTTTCAGTTTATTCATGACAATTTGCTTTTGCATAATGTTATTTTTATTAGCAGTATTATTTATTATATGCATATTTATATTTGTTTTATTAAAAACAAGCTTAGATTTGTCCATCTGTGAGGTTTTGGACCATATGGAGCATGTGTGTTTGGATAACTCAGTTTTTTAAACACACTTTGTTATTATTGTTCATTTATTCGTTTGCCGGAAATTAGAACTGAATTTAGAAATAGTTTTGAAACGAATCTTTGCGCTTAAAAAAAAATGACTTTGTGCATACACCACATTTCCTTATCCACGAAAGAGAGAAAGTGAAAGTAAAGGCAGATTGGAGGAGGCTCATTCTTTACTGCAGATGCTCTGTTTAACTGTTTTCTCTCTACTGAAGCGTTCAGTTTTTCACTTACAAAGTCCGCCATGTAAATACACATGCACCATGGAGCGGCACAACTGACTCTTAAAGGGAATGAGAGATGAGACTCTGATTGGTTTATTCCCAAAACACACCAAGAACTCATTAAGAGACTAAGCACAGCCCTAATAGACCATGCGCCGCAGCGCAGAGTGTAGTTTTCCGTTGCTCCATGGCACATTTGCTATTTACTGACTTTGTATCTCAATTTTTATCCTTCACTTTCATCAATTGGTGAAGTTTGTTCCTCCACTGTCACCACTAGCTTGCTTGGTTTGGCACTTGTGGAGCTGCGCATTGATGGATTTGCTCTTCAGTGTTTGGACTTTCAGTAGTGAAAATTAAACCACACTGAACTGAACTGAACTCAACTTCAACTGTGAAAACTGAGCCGACACTGTTTACATTTACTAGAACTTCTGCTAAAGAATAAAAGATAAACTGAATAGAGTTGTTTCTCACCGTGTTTATGTGTGTCTTGCTGGAGTAGTTTGGGTCCACTAAGGCCAATAGCGAGCGCTCCAATTGGCGCTGTGATCAGAATGGCCAGGACTGCCACCGTCAGAATATCCATGCCAAACTTCTGGAGCTGCTCGTCTCCAATGCTACGGGCCATATCCAGAGCTGTGGAGCCGATGGCTGCCTGCATACACACACACACACACACACACACACACACACACACACACACAATTTTCAAAATAGTTCAACTTTTGCCACTGTGTGGATTAATACTGAATGTGTGTTGTTGTTATTACTTGGGGAAATGTTTAGACTAGAGCAATAGGATGGTCTTTAACTGCATTTATTTATTGCAATCCTGCATTGGGCTCTCACATACTCTCTGCTACTTCATACTGTAGCCATGGTGGGCTTTTCTCTCTGTCTCGCGCTGAACACAGTCGACCAATCGCAATAGACTGGGTCTATCAGACCAATCAGCGCAGATTAGCTTTATGCTAACGAAGGGTTTGGGAAAAAATAACTCGCTGAATGATTCATATGGGAGTCGCTGGGATAATTAGGTAAAAATAAATGCAGGTTATAAGACCATGAAAGTGTTTTTTGACCCT